GGAGCGCCGCCGCACTCCCAAGCGGCGCACTGTAGCAGTGCGCCACTGGGCCGGCCCGTGAGATTAATTTAAGTGGCACATGAACAAACACTTTTTTTCATGTTTAGAAAAATATAACTCAAAAGTCAAATCTATAACTTTAAGGACATTGCAGGGGGCTGGCCAGTTAGCTCACTGAGAGGGTGGTGCTGATAACACCAAGGCCAAGGGTTCAAGGGTTTAGATTCCTGTGCTGGCCAGCCAAAAAAAAAAAAAAAAAAGGAACATTGCTACTGCTACTTAAATTTGGGAAACAATGCAAAGGATAGGATTTAACTGTTCCTCCTGGATTTTTTTCATAAAGCGTTTATTTTCTAGCCAAATACTGGTACCATGGGTGGTCCAGCCACGTGCAGGAACTGGTGCTGTGGGCTGCATGCACAGGAGACCCTTGTCACCACACATCTCAGGACACTGGTGATGCATCTCAAACAGCACATTCAAGGAGGAAGAACACATAGCCCAGGCCCACTTAGCAGTCACTCAGATCCATGGGGTGCAGGAAAAAAGGACTATAACTTCTCTTTATGTTCTACTCTAAAAAAGCTAAGAAATTAAGGTGTATTAATATTTCACATATTAGAGAGCAGCCTTGCAACACCAAGGTCATGGGTTTGGATCCCTATACCTGCCAGCCACCAAAAAAATAATCATCTTTCACAGAGTGACACTGGTCCCTGCCAAGGTCGGCTTGTGTGGCTCACAGGACAGGCATCCTGGGGGAAGAACGGGTGTCCACCACGAAGACAAGCTGGCCGCAGCTGCTTCACTTATGCCTGCTACAGACATGCTGTAACATACCATGGCCTACCTGTGCCAGGTTACAAGATTTACAGATGTTACCTAATTCGAACTAAACTAATCCTCACAAAGTTGGCAGACGGTTCAGTTAGATTCCTGCAGAGTAACTGACTGGGAGCCGGCTCGGAGGGGAAGCACGGTGGGCAGGAAAACAGCAGAGCCACCCACAGGTCTGCAGTAGTAGGAGCTATCTGCCAAAACCATGAGATAGTGAACACATCTAGTCAAATCTCACTAAAAGTCCACCCTAAACAACCTCAAAATCACCATGGTGACTATTGGAAATGGGGATTCCAGTTACCAATGTGAACAATCAACTTCATCTGAAAAAGTGTGCAACACGCCTTGTTCTAATAACCTTTGCTGCCATCAAGCCAGCACTATTAGCAAGACATTTAGAAGTATTACTTCCATTGCCCAGCCATCTCCCATTCACTCTTTTCTTTCTTAATAACAGAATTAATATCCCTGAACAGATCATGCAATCCAAAACTTGATCATAACACAGTCCTCCCATACTCCCATTCCCTTGCCTCTGGCTCCATCCTGACTTCTTGATGTTTCTCCTTTTTTTTTAATCATTCTTTTTTTTTCTTTAAAGTTTTATCACATACATATATACCTAAATAATAACTTGTCTTGTTGGTTTCTCAACTTCATAAATAGGAATTACGCTATATGTAGTCTTCTGGCAGTATTTTCTTCATTGGGCGTTAAGATTCACTAGAAGCTAAAGTTCACTCCATGGCACTGCTATGTGACATTCCACCACATGATCATACCACAGCCCACACATCCCTTGTCTTGTTGGTTTCTCAACTTCATAAATAGGAATTACGCTATATGTAGTCTTCTGGCAGTATTTTCTTCATTGGGCGTTAAGATTCACTAGAAGCTAAAGTTCACTCCATGGCACTGCTATGTGACATTCCACCACATGACCATACCGCAGCCCACACATCCAATCCGTTTATGGGCACTTGGGTTGCTTACCGTTTCTTTTTGGCAGCTGGCTGGCACAGGGTTCAAATCTGGACCTTGGTGTTATCAGAACCACTCTTCAATCCGTTGATGGGCACTTGGGTTGCTTACCGTTTCTTTTTGGCAGCTGGCTGGCACAGGGTTCAAATCTGGACCTTGGTGTTATCAGAACCACTCTCACCACTGAGAAACCTGCCTGCCCCGCTTATCTTTTTATTTGCTATGGACATTTTTATACATGTACCAGAGCATTTCTCTAGGAGTAGAATTGTTGGGTAATATTTGTGAAGATAACACCCAACTATTTCCCAAATCAGTTATGCCAATTCAGGTTAGGAGTGTAAAAAGAACCTCACTGAGCTTCAACCCAACATTTAGTACCACGAGTCTTCCTAATTTTCATCAAGACAAAGTATAAAATAGCACCACGTTGCGGTTTTCGCGGCATTTCCCCAATTAATAGAGTACTACAAGCCTTAGCATTTCACATGTCCCTTTGTCGCGAGTCCCCTCTTCCGTACAATGCCTGTCCACAATCTTTATCTTTCTTTTTAACCGGTTGTCTTTTTCTTGCTGATTTGTAGTTCTTTATATATTCTTGATGCCAATCTTTTGTTATTTACGTGTCTCAGGTTTTGTCTCATCTGTAGTGGGTCTTCTAATCTTAATTGTTTTTTGATAAACAAAAGTTCTTAATATTAATGCAGATGAATTTTTTTCTTTTATGGTTAATGCTTTCTGAGTCTTACCTAAGAAATCTCCCATCCCAAGGTCAAAAAAATATATATCTACATTTCTTATAAAAGTATTAGGTTTTACTTTGATACTAAGTTTTAAATCCATTTTTCTGTACACAATGTAAAAACCAAGTTTTTGTTTTAGTTCCATTTATTTAAAATAGTAGATCTGTGTGGGCCGGCCCTTGGCTCATTCGGGAGAGTGCGGTGCTGATAACACCAAGGCCACGGGTTCGGATCCTACATAGGGATGGCCGGTTCGCTCACTGGCTGAGCATGGTGCTGACAACACCAAGTCAAGGGTTAAGACCCCCTTACCAGTCATCTTTTTTTTTTTTAAAGGCAGGTCTGTGTACATGTGAAAAATCAGTCCGTAAGACCACATTTCCAAATACATGTGGGTCTGTTTCCAGATACTCTATTCTATTCCATTGGTCAGTATGTCTCTCCGTGATCCAATACTGTGACACTTTAACTTCTGTACCTTTACAATATATCTTTATGCTTGGGAAAACATAACCATTCTCATATTCTTCTTCAGAAGCGTCTTGGCTATTTTTAGTCCTTCGCTTTTCTTTTCTATATAAATTTTAGAATCAACTGGAGCTATATTAACCTATACATTAATTTAGGAAGAACCAACATTTTTTATAATATTAAGCCTTCCCTCTGTAAAGGCAGCTATCTCTTCATTTATATAGGTTATTTAATGCCCTTCAGTAAAGGTTTTCTGCATGGGTCTTGCTAAATTTAGGTCTAGATATTTTATTTATTTATTTATTTTTTTGTCTTTTGTCTTTTTCCGTGTCNTTATATAGGTTATTTAATGCCCTTCAGTAAAGGTTTTCTGCATGGGTCTTGCTAAATTTAGGTCTAGATATTTTATTTATTTATTTATTTTTTTGTCTTTTGTCTTTTTCCGTGTCCGGCAACGGTTCGCAACCCTCAGTGCTGCCCCCGTATCGGACCGGGGACCGGCAACGGGATCGCAACCCTCGGTGTTGCTCCCGCGCCTTGCTCAGCCAGTGAGCGGAGCCGGTCTGTATGTGGGATCCGAACCCTCGGACGGGAGCGCCGCCGCGCTTCCCAAGCGGCGCACTATCCAGTGCGCCACCGGGCCGGCCCCATTGTTTTAAAAAACTTATAATAGCAAAATTTTGTTACAATTGCTTGTCTGGTATAGAGAAACTCAACTAAATTCAACTTTTTCTATACACTCGGCCCTCTTCATCTATGGGTTCCGCATCCAAGGATTTGGCAGAAAAAAACTGCATCTGTACAGAACACATACAGACTTTGTCTCCCCTGTCATTATTGCCTACCCTAAACAATACAGTTTAACAACTATTTACGGAGGCATTTACATTGTATTAAGTACTATAACTAGGGATCATTTAAAGCCTACGGGAAGATGTGCATGGATTACAGGCAAATACCAGGCCATTTTATATCAGGGACCTGAGCATCCTCCGATTTTGGTATAGCTATCTATGGGAGGTCCTGGCACTAATCCCACACGGATACCAAAGGATGACTGTATTGAAGTTATATCTAGCCATGCTGCCAAATTCCCCTTGCCAAGTTTCTAATTTGTCTACATATTCTCTTGGTTTTCCATGCATGAACACTGTTTCCAACTTAAAACAGTGTTACTCCCCCCTTTCTTTCCTCATATCCCAGCTCTGGCTGGGACCGACATAATCTGAAACAGAAGTCGTGAGAGTGGCCATCCTTGTTTCACTCCTGATTCTAAAGAGTATACTTCCAATATTTTCTTACTTAGAAATGTAGATGCTTTTTGTAGTTTTTGGTAGACACCCTGTATCAGGTTAAGCAAATGCCCTTCTATTAATACTTTGCTGAGAGTTTTTTAATCATGAATTGCGGGCAGCGGATATCTATTTTCAGGTGACCTTTCTCTTCTATTCTGTTAATAGAGTAATAGTAGTTGATTAATTAAGGTAGCAAAATTAGTAGTCACTTACACAGCACTTACTGTGTGCCAACTACTACTCCAAGCATTTTATAGAATTCATTTGAGCCTCACAATTCTGTAAGAAAGAAATCATATTCTGCAGACAAGGGACAGGAAGCACAGCGGTTATGTAACATCATCAAGGATGCACAGCTATTAAGGGGCAGAGCCGGCTGCAAATGCAGCAGGCCGGGCTCCCGAGTTGTGCTTTTCTCTGGGTGCTGTGCTCGCTCCATAACCACATTTAGAGATTTCCTGACATTAGAGCTAACCTAGGATGAACACAAGTTGCTTACAGTTTTTAAAAACTGTGCAAATTTGCTGGTATTTTGTATAGAATTTTTATATTTGTGTCCATAAATAAGATGGGATTGTGATTTTTCTCTTTCATATTATCCTTAATTTTGTTACCCTCATAGAATGAGATAAGGAGTATTTACTCTCTGGAGGGGTTTGTGAAGGATTGGAATGATTTGCTTCTTAAAAGTTTCACAGAACTCACTTGCAAACCATCTTGGCCTGGTGTTTTATCCATGGGAAGATTTTTAACCACTGCTTTAATTTCTTTAATAGTTAAAAGAATCTTCAGACTTTCTACTTTCTTCAGCTTTTGATGTTATATTTTACTATTTTTTCACTCACTGTTAATTTCTACTTTGGGACATGATTTATAATGTACATAAAATATATTGGTACAACCATCGATGTGTATAAAATAACTAATAAACCTATTTTGGTGGTATCTTCTGAGAATCCTTATTTCTGTTTGGTAATCATTTTCCAAAAACTCTGGAGAACACGACCCTACCTGAGTGATTCCCTTTCATGGCTTAGCCTGCAGCAGGCGCAATCCAAATTTAGGTTTTATCCGCTACTACAGTGTAAGCACTTCACTCCTAAGTCTGATCTAGCCTGAGGACATGATGACAGGAGCGCATGGATTTATTAACGAGGAGGCCCCAGGCTCCAGGGCTCCCCTGCGGCCAGCACTGCAGACTGCACTCACAGCTGCGAGCGTGCTCCTTGGACAGCAAGTAGTTGGCCAGAGGCGGCGTGTAGGTCAAGCACTGGATGGTGGAGTTCAGGAAGCAGGTGTTGCCCAGGTTGTGGAGGCCTGCGCCGACGCGGAACACACGCTCCCACCTCAGAGACAGGCGCTCAGTGGGGAACAGCACTTTCTGTGGGGCTGGGACACCATCACTGCAGCTCTCGTATGCATGCTCGCTGCCTGAGAGAGGGGACACGGGAAGAAAAGAGGATGATGTAAGCCTGTGCACAGGTAGACCACAAAACAAAATTCCTGACATGCACCCATCAGAATACGGCATCAAAGGGCAATGGTGTCCCCCTGCCTGGACATTCCTAGAAAGCTCGATCATCCTTGGACTGCCCAGGCTGCTTAAATCTAGGATTCAAAGCTCCCTCCATGGATGGGAGGACATGATTCAGAGAATGACAGCTGAAGGAACCAGGCCCAGCACTCTGACACCCCCCCCCTCTGAAGCCTACCCCTTTCTCATCTCCAAGCCCCACTTTTGATACTGGTAAAAGAGTAGGGGAGGACAAGGAACCTCGGAACACACCATTTCCTGTGTCATTACTCCCACGACTACACACTGACCCTGTAAAATTCACAACCCTCCAACCATGTTCTGTTGTTGTTCCTAAGTGGTCACACTTAGCCCATCTGCGCAGTCAGCACACAGTGAGGGTCTTCCTGCAGGGACACTATGCGTCTGTACCCTGTCTCCTGGCCTGGGCTTCATCTCCATTCTTGTAGCGACTGGCTCCCTCTGTTTTGGGGTTCAGCAACACATATTTGCTCTTTAAAGACTCCAGCTGGTAGGAGAAACTCTTGCTGGCTGGCTCAAACTCAATCTTCTGTAAAAGGACCTTCTTGGCAGAGGAGGCCAGAAGCTTCCCCAGCTCCCCATCATCGGCAGATTCCTTGCGGCCAGGTTTCAGGGCTTCCTTCAATTTATCGACTATCGGCATGGTGCATCACTGTGGAGACAGGAGGGAACGCAGACTCACAAATAACTATGTCCCAGGAACAAAAACACCACTTTCTAATCCCTCTGGTCGTTATGGACGCTAGCCACCACAAAAGCTTTCCCGGGACAGTTGCCAGCCCTACAAAGGAAGTGTGAAACTGGGGAACACTGCTAATCACTTCGACATGTTAGAGTTCTCACAGCCCTTCTCAAAAAGACACGAGGCCTCCACAAATAGAGCTAACTGGACAGCATCGCCACCAAGGCAGCCAGCTGCCCCTGCCACGGAATCTCTTCAACAAATACTCATCAAGTAGCTGGAAGTTCCACTTGGTGCTGTTTCCTTCAAAAGGCCGTCACGTGGTCCTGATGTCTGTTCAAAAACAGAGCAACACTAATTCTCACACATACTCTGGTTAAACACACACACATAAACGTAATTAATTCCTTGTAATAAAAGGATTAGCAGGCAAGTCAGACAAGCATGCATGTCTGCACAGACCTGTACTCTTCAATATGAAGGCACAGGCCCCACATGGCTACTGAGGTTAGTCCAAATTGAGATGTACTGTAAGTATAAAATGTACACCAGATTTCGAAGATGCAGGATAAGAATGTAAAACATCTCAATAATTTTTAGATTGGTTACACGTTGAAATGACAAGTGTACACACATTGGGTTAAGTCAAATAAATGATGCAAATTAATCTCACCTGTTTTTTTAAATGTGGCTACCGTAAGGTTTTATATTATATTTGTGTCTAGAATTATATTTCTATTGGATGGTGCTTACAAATTATCTTTCTAAAAGTGAGGCAGCAGTGAGGGAAGAATAAAAATGAACAAGGCCTAAGAACAGTACACAGAAGACACCTGAACTTAAGCGAATGTCTCCCCAGGTGACTTGCCAAGAGAGAAGAGCAGGAAAAGCCAAGCAGGCAGTGGGCAGACCACAGGTGTGGAAGGGGCGGGCCTGGTTGGTTCCATCATGGTTCACTATGAAATCCAGGGACAGTTACTTCCCCTTCTCCAAGTCTCCTATCCTTCCATTGTAAAATTGGGACAAAAACAGCTCCAAAGGGGGGTGTAGGAACGAGTCAGACAACACAGGCTTAGGAAGTGCCGTAGAGCCTGCTACATATTAGTGCCTAACAAAGGATGGATACTACTGATGCAGCCGCGTAGAAACTCTAACAACGGAGAGATCCCCGTCACAGCTCTGCCACACTCGTATCCACCACTTCCCAACGCGCCACCTCTCAACTCCATCACCCTAGCCAAAGCTCGGGCAGTTTGTGCCATAATTAGAAAAATATGTCCACTCACTCACATCAGAACACTGATAAACTGCTCGCTCACATCAGAACACTGATGACTCCCTCTGGTATTCAGCACCAGCCCTGCCCCAGGAGAATCAACTTATCACGTGTACCCCAGAACTCTGCTTTAGTGAAAGTGAAGACCTTCTCCACCACCTCTTATTAAGCCATTCAAATTTATCATTACGGATCACCCATTCAGTACATGGGTCCAATATCTTTTTCTGTAAAAACTTCTGTAAAGAATAGAAATGTAAAAAAGTCATTTTTAAAAAAACAAGCACATGTTCTCTGATTCGAGGAAATAAAAGAGCCTTTTCTGATGGGAATTATCTAAGACTTCTTACCAACTGAACAATCACTGCTGGGTCAGATGCTCAGTGGGGTGAAAAAATCCGCAGCAGCTTTCCCAGACTTACCTGGGATGTCTGCACTTGGGCCTGCTGCTTCCTTCTACAGCATAGAATGGGTGCTTAAGGGAGGCACTGAGTCCGACTGGGCAGGTGCAATGCTGGGCCCTCAGTTCAAGTGCTCCTGGATTTTGGCCTGTTAAGTCACCAAAGCTGCCAAGCCTAGCGTCCAGAACGGGTGTCAGAACATGAGGGATGAACAGCGAGGCCATCACACAAGGCCGACCCTGCCCGCTGCCTCTTCAGCCCCTTCCCACGGATGCGGTGCAGGACCTGCCACCATCTACCAGGAATAAGTCATCATTAAGGCTAAAGGAATATCAGTGCTGGATTCAGGATGAGTCTGGAGGAGAATAGAGCTAACTAGACACAAATTATTATAATGTACATGATAAGAAAGACACTGCCCTCTGCTCTGCATGTTAAACCCTGACACCAGTGACAAGTCCAGTGAATGAAAATCTCCCACACTTGCCAGTCAACTCCAGTCTGAATCTCATTTCCAGGTCTGCCCAGTGGCTAACCTGGGAGAGCATGGTGCTGATTACACCAAGATTGAAGGTTTGGATCCCATACTGGCCAGCCAACAAAAAAAAAAAAAAAAAAAAAAAATCATAAATCTCATTTCCAAAGAGTAAGAGGTAATAGATAATAAATCCAAACTTTCAGATTTCATGAACCAGAAAAATTTCAAAAAGAAAAAAAAAAATTGAGGGAGCAATAAGAGTTGCCAAATTTTTACTTTGCTGAGTGTAGACTTCTTTAATTACCACCTACAATCACTATGATTACATAACTTACGGTACTTAAAAACGTTTCACAGTGAAGAGGCTCAAACTCAGTCAAGTAGAGAGAGAAAGGGCTGTGGGCCCCGTCACTCAGCTGCGACAGCTGCATCTGACTGCGCCTGACTCACCTCCCCATATCCAGGTTGCTTCAAGACACATCTCAGCCCTGTCACTTCCTCCATAAATAAAAGCATGTCTACACCAAAAATGAAATGTTTAATGAAATGACCTCAGAATAAAGGTCAATCTGCAAAGTGAAGACATCCATTCTTATGAAAAACTCCCCACGATGTCACTGCTTTTTGTCATGACTCACGCCTCACCGTGGACAGGTGAGAACTTTGTTCTGGACCCAACAAGAGTCCACCAGCCGATGCTCAGGAACCACTTGTATAGGGAGATCTAACCCAATTTCACTCGAGGTAAGTACTCAAACTTAACCCTCTCCTCAATGTAGAGCCAAAGACTTTGAACATAACTGTTCAAGCTGTGACAGAAAGATTATCCTCTACTTCGCCAATTCCACCTCAAAATTAAGTAATAACCTAAAAATGGTATCTCTCTGACATGTGGAAACCCAAGAAAAATGTCCTTGAGATCATCAGCAAGCCCAATCATATAGATACTCATTAACACTCTCCAAAACTCATAAAGGATGCTCTCTCCCGGCCAGGTTGCTTGTAGTCCAGGAACAGCTCAGACTTCTCAGGATATACTTCTACCTTGGAAAGTGCTCAAGCGTGACTTCCTCAAAACAAACAACATCTAAGCACATTCTCTCTCCCTTCTCCCTTTAATTTCGCTTTTCCAGGATAAACTGCACTCAAGACTCACAGGGTCAATCACGTGCTGGGGGAGGAGCCCAAGACCGAAGCGGCTGGGCCTCCTGGGGCGCTCGCAGAGGGGCCTCCAGGCCGCGCCCGGCCCGGGACAGCGCAGCCAGCGCCCCTCCAGGGGGCCTCTTTCCTGGCATCCGCCACAGAAACTGGGCACCGCGACAGTTTCCCCTTGCGTGTGCCTCTACTGTAGATGCTACCCTAGCACCTGGGGCGCCAATGGACAGCCATGCCACCCAACGAAAGCATCGGGAATTTTAAAACCCACATCCCTACCCGCGCTCAGAATCGCCTCTGCCGACCGTGACCACAACCGTGGTGAAGTCACCTTCTGCAGGCGCGAGCCTGCTATCGGTGAAGGAAACCAGGTCTCCGCTCTGCGGCCGGACAGGACGCTCTCTGCCTGACTTTGACCTAAGCCGCTCCAGAGGGAGTCTGGACTCTGCGTCGATGCTTTTGTGGGTAAAGACTGTGCCCAACGTCGGCACAGGCCGACGCCTCCTCCCTGCCCGCGCTGGGCAAGCCCTCTGCCCTGGCCGGGCTTCAGGCAACCCGGAGCGCGCTACTCCAGGGCCTCCCCGGGGACACCCGAGACCCCTGCGCGGACGGCGCGGCCCCAGCCCTCCCCGGGGACACCCGAGACCCCTGCGCGGACAGCGCGGCCCCAGGCCCTGCTCGGAGACACCCTGGACTCTCCCCGGGACACCCCAAACCCCTATCAGACGGCGTGACCCGAGGAGACACCCCGGACCCCTGCGGGGACAGCGCGCCCGTCTTCCCCGAGCGCCCCTGGGTGCGCCCCGCGCCCGGCGTAAGCCCCTATCCCCGCCTGGCCCGCTGCCTTCCCCGCGGGCCTGTTCGCCTCCCCGACCCGGCCCCTGCCTACCCTGGCCTCCCGACGGGCCCGCTACAAGCCCGCGCGGCGCTAGCGTCTCCTCCGGCCAGGGGCCCTGCACGCGCACCATCCGGGCCTCCGGCGCCTCACACACGTGTCACGACGACGCTTAAAGGCGCCGCGCCCTGCGGCCGCGCTGCACGACACCGAAAGGCCCGGGCGGCTTTAAGAGGCGGGGCTAGCTTCGGCCACCTCCCTGGATTCGCCCACTTCCGCTTACGCACAGCATACGCCATCTCCCCATCCCCGGGCCCCGCCAGCCTACGCGATGACGCAAGCCCGCAGAGCCGGAATCGCAGCAGTCCCTGGGCGGCGCTGGTGGGCTCCCGCAGGGCGCGTGGGTCGCCTTCACTTCCGGGTTGGCGGGCGGGAACGCAGCGACTCCCCTGCGGCACCCACGGGGGGATGGCTACGGGCTGTCGCTGCTGCCGCAGGAGGAGACGCCTGATCCATCTCGCCGGCTGCCGCCTGGCGCCCGACGTGTCGCTGCAGATAGGCGGTGCTTAGCCTCCGGGGGCTCGCGTGCGGGGCACCTGCCGTGCACCTGCCGTCCGGGGCGCGCGTGGTTAGGAGCACGTTTGGCGAGTGCTGACATTTGACCTTGGCAGTCTCGGGGGCCCCCGCGCAGCTCCCTAACTCCTCCCGTCCCCTCCACAAGCTTCATCCTACGACTGCTCTACGGGAGGTTTTGGTTGAGCGGTTGAATATTCACAAACACGTACTGCTTTTCAGTATTTTTAAAAATCCCCTTGACCT